AAGCCCGGGCTGCCGCGCCGCCGGGGTCACCCCGCAGCCTCGCCCCTGCCCGGCTGTGGAGCCGGCGCGATGCTGCCGCCGGTGCCCTCCCGCCTTGGGCTGCTGTTGCTGCTGCTCCTGTGTCCGGCGCACGTCGGCGGACTGTGGTGGTGAGTGCATGGGGGGTCCCGGCGCGGGCCCAGCGCTGGAGGATGGGGACCCCTGGCCCCGGTCGGGGATTCTGCATCGCACTCCAGCTGCCTTGGGACTCTACCTGTCTCGGATGCAAGTTGCGGGGCAGCGGCTTGGGGCCTTGGGCAGAGGTGCAGGGATTCTCCTCCTGGCTCCTCGCAAGGAGAGCTGTTGAAGTGCCACCTTGACGTTTCCAACCCCTGGCACACTGTATTGAGTTTCCTCCTCTCGTGTCCTCCCCTCCCCCTAAGTCGTGTGTTCTATTCAGATCACCAAGGAATTGGCGGGTAGGTAGGAAGTAACTACTGCAGAAAATCTGTAATCACAGAGTCTCAGCGAACGAGTGAGGAGGGCCCTGGAATTAGGGAGCGGGGACTGGAACTGAGCAAAAGAGAGGAACAAAGCAGGAGCCGTGAGGCAGACAGGGTCTAGACACCTGCCCTTCTCTGACCTACTTTGCCCACCAACCCACCCGCTTCTCTACAGGATCTTCCAGCGTGTGAAGTAGTGTCAAGAAAGGGGAAACTGAGTCAGGATTCTGAGTTTCTCTAGCTCCTCTTTCCCTAGCAAAGAAGAAGAAGAAAGGCAAGGGCGTCGTGGATGAAACACTCGCGCATCGCAGGATACACGGGACCCCGGAGGGTCCTCAGAGAAGGGAGGGAGGCCTGGCTAGCCAAGGGATGGGGATGCCTTCCCAGACTCGGCCTCTGGACTTGGCCTTAGCTGAAGCAGACGTAAACTGCGTAGGTTCCCAGAGCTTTAAACCTTGGAGTGGAGCAGGGATTAGGGAAGGTGGGTGCGAGGCCGGCCGGGACAGCGCAGAGATCCAAATCCCGAAGAATTTTTCCCGTTCTTAGTCCCAGAGTGCAAACACCGGCCAGGAATAGCTCAGTGTTTGGAGAGGCGGGATTGGGACAATAGTGCTGATAGATCAGCCAATCCTAAAAAGGCAGGGAATTGTCTATTTGCATATCACCAGTCATTGGCTGGATTCCTACCCTCCAGGCTTCTCCAGTCCTCTCCTAACCCCCGGATTTGGAAGGAGGGTTGGGCCAGGCCGATCTCTCTTTCTTTTAGAGAAATAGAGTAGATGGCCGCACTGTCAGCTCCTGGCTGCTGTCCCCCTTTGGTGAAGTGGGAGAGACATTCCTCACAGGTGTCAGTGAGGGGAGAAATCCAGGAGACTCAGGTCCCGGGGAAGATGCATCCTTTCATCTTGGTTTCGCCTGATGAAGTAGGAATTTTGACATCGCCAGACCTGAGGTCTGATCTCAGCCGCTAAATCTGTGATCATGAGACCTTCACAAGGTCTCTCTTGTGAAGTAGGGATAACCATCTCCCTACTGGCAGGTCTGCTGGGAGGACTAGGTGGGAATACGTGCAAAATGACTGCCATGAAGAGATACTCTTCACCCTTCCAGCTTCTCCTGGCCAAGGTCCCCAGGAGTAAGAGGGGAGTCATTTAAATTAAAAATGTAGAATCTCAAGCAAAACTTAGGGATCTCTCTTTTGTCCTCCAGATATACCTTTCCTCACTTTGTTCTTTCTCAAATTGTGGGGACAGGGTCCCTCTCCTCCCTCTTCATGTGCCCTTACAATTAAAATACAACTTCCTGCATGAAGCTGTCTCTCTATCCTCCCTCCATTACCTTTCCTGTGTGCCATGGTATCCCATGTGTTGGACAGCTGTGCCAGTTACTGCATTTTACTGACAACCACCTCTTCTGGGCTTTCTTTTTTCTGGTCTCAGAAGGCAGGGCCTTTGTCTCTAGGGTCTCAGAGGCCCAAGAGAGCGTAGGTGCTAGAGATGGGTTTATGGGGGTGCTGAGTGGGAGGACTCACCTTTCAGGGTCTTGTGTCTGTGGGGGTTTCTTTGTTCAGGAGGGCCCACTGGGTGGGAGCCAAGCCAACAACAGGAGAGGGGCCTTGTCCCTCTGACTGACCCTGAAGCTGGGAGGCAGAGAGTGGGGGAGGAGGGCAGGAGGGCAGGTGTGGGAGAACACAGAGGCCTTCATGGCCACAGCTGCAGGGTGAGCCGGGTGAAGAGTGAGGGGCCAGGGTGATAAGGTGGCCAGCGAATGCTTCACTCAGATGTGTCTCTGAGAGAACCTGCCCCTCCCACTTGCCTCAGCCCCCTCCCTATCCTCTATTTCTGATACTTCATTCTTTTGGTCTGAGCCCAAGCTCCCTTTGGCATGATCTTTGGCTCTGCTTACACTCCAGGTCTGACTCTTGTCACTCCCACCCCTATGCCCAACTTCACTTCAGCTGGGAGCTTCCAGGCTATTCCCGGATGTGTAGGACCTGCGGTGCTGGTGCTGTTCTCCCTGCTTCTTAAAGATGCTGGCCAAGCCACAGCTCCAGTGATGGACAAGAAAGCAGCAGGATCTGCAGCAGCCACTGATATTCTAGCAGAAGCCAGGCTGAGAGCAGAGAGGACACTAGGACCTCTTGGTGACTTAACTGTCCTGGTTGGGAAAGGAGGGTCCTGGAGAGGATTACCCAGGTGGTGAAATCTGCTCTGAGACCAAAGAAATGTCCTTTCCATCTTCCCTTCCTTTCTGTCCCTGCCCAGTGCAATTTGTGCTTTCTAAACCCTGCCTCCAACCACTCAGAGTGTCTTTCCATCTGTAATCATATCTTTGTGAATCACAGAATTCCAAATTCCAGGCACTGGCCAGCCTGTCTCCAGGTCTTCTCCTCCAGCCCACTGCCTCCAGGCCATCCAGCCCACCCTCTGGCCCCAGCAGACCTCCCAGTCCTGAGAGTGGGGCAGACAGGGAAAGGTTCTGGCTTCCTGGTCACCAGCTTTACTGCCCACCTTTGCTTCCCTTCTGTCCTCCCCCAGGAAGTTCTTCACAACGTCTGACCCATCTTTATTTATACCTTCAATCAGTGCGTGTAGAAAATAGCTCACTCCCACAGAAGAGCCAAATCAGTTCCCTTCTTTCTTCCTCTTTCCGGTTTAAATTTTTTCTAAAGAAACGAACCCTCTCCTTTTTCTACTAGGAAAAACATCATATAGTCTCTCCCCTGCCCCCTCCCTTCTTGCCTGCACTCTGCCTCCCCCTTCACGTATGGAAAGGAAACAGGAGCTAGGACAGCCTCAACAACGGCCTTGCAGATGAGCAGGGAAAGGACGCAGCCTCTTGCTGACACCCAGATTTCCCAGCTGCCACCCGCCCCAGGCTGGGTCTGGCCATCCTTTCCCATCCTGTATCTATCTGGGGCCCCTGACCCTTCATGGGCAGTCCTGTTGTTGGTCCCTGCCAAGCTTCAGGGTAGGGTGGCCATCCGTTCCCCACTCCAGGCCTCCCGCCTTGGCAGCTTCCCCCAAGGGAGACAATGGGGCTGTGAGCAGAAAAGGGCAGGGGCAAAAGGAGGCTGGCTCGATCTTGGCCAGAGCATGCCCTGGGCCCACCAGAGTCCTGGCACTGTGACATTTCCTGGGGGGTGCAGCCCTCTCCTGGCCAGTTCTCATCGGAAGCCAGGAGCTGATGGGGGGAGGTCAGTGGGAGGTTCAATCGCCAGGGCCTAGAGAGGGGGATTCCAGAATGAGGATTCTGATGGGGGAGTGTGGCTGTGGAGGGGCTGAGGCAGGGCAGGGCAGGGCAGGACAGGGCGGGCAGCCAGGCTAAGGCAGGCCAAGCTGGAGGCTCTGGGGGAACCAGATGCTGCCTTTGCAGACCACTGAGAGCGCCCCCTAGCCTGGGACCTCCTTCTTGTCCAGGCTGGAAACTGCCTGAGGCAGAGTTGAGGGAGAGGAATGACGCCAGGAGGCTGCTTTGGCTGGTTCCACCAGCTCTGAACCCTCTATGTAATCTAGAATTTGATCTAGAAAGGACTGCGAGATCACCTGGTCTAATACTTTCAACTGGTGAGAGCAGAAGTTCCAGCAACAGGCAGTGCCTTGCTCAGTGCTGGTAGCTGAGAGCCAAGGCTGAGACTGCCTTCTCCTCAGCTCCTCGTCCTTGGATGCAGTAGGGGTGGGCGCCCTTCCAGATGCCCCTGCTGGTCCCTCATCCTGCCCTCAGATGGGTGCTCCCCGTGACAGCCTCTCTTCCAGGTGTCCCATTGCTTTGCAGCCCTGGCCAATAACAAGCCCTTTTGTATGGTGAGGTTCTTTTGTATGGTGAGGTCCCTCAGGAAGGGAAAGCCCCTGGCTCTCCCTAGAATGATGAGGAGAGAAGAGTGAGGAAGAACAGAGGAAACCAAATTAGGTGGGGTGGGGGAGGGGCAAAGTGGGGGCAGCTGGTGGGCAGTGGGGAGGCAGGGGTTAACGGAGCTGGGGCATCAGTGGCTTTGATGTGGTGGTTGGGGTGGGGGTAGGGACTGGGGGAAGGGGAGCAGTAATTACTGAGTTAGACAGAGCAGGACAGGACAGGCGGGCGGGCACAGGCCCGGCAGCCTCAGCAGCCGTCAGGCAACATTTTTCTGCCCCCTCTCCACCACCCCGCTCCCCAACCCCCCTACAGCCCCCACCCACAGCCCCAGGGCTCAGGGCTCCCTCTGCTGGCTCTCGGGAGGTGGGGTCATTATTGGGATCTTGGGGGTGGGGTGGGGAAATTGAGGAAGGCCATCTGAGAGACCCTACAGAGGTGGCTGGTTACCCACAGGGTCTGGGACCCTTCTGCTCTCAGTGACCAGGAGTGTTGGTTTTGGACAGGGAGTGGTTCTCGAGGTGCTTCGGGTCCCTGGGCAGGGCTGAGGATGAGGAGACAGGGATCTAGGCTGAGAAGTGAGGGCCGAGAGTTGGACAAAACAGTGTTCTCAGGAATCCCCAAGTGCTGCCTGCAGCCTGCCTGGCACTGTGCAGGTTCCACAGCTGGATGGGGTGTGAATGAGAGGAGCAGAGGCACTTGGACAGGTCCTCCGCACATGTCCCTAGGGAAGATGGTCAGTATTATCATTCCCATTTTCCAGCTGAGGAAACAGAGGCTCAGAAGATGAAGTCTTACCATACATTCACAAATACTAAGTGCCAGATTCACATGCTGGGGACTCAACATCATGCAGCAACAAATGGCAGGGCCTAGATTCAACCCTACATGTGATGGATCTTCAAAGCCCTGAGTGGGCTCTGATGACATCATGCCCACTTGTGAAATTTTTATCTTTAATGAATTTTCTCCCTAATTGAGGAGATAACATGCTGGCAGGCTAACAGGAGCCCCCAAATGAGTGACATTTGGGTGATGGGGGGCCACTGGGGCTCCTTAGGGTCAATGGGATTAGAGACAAGCTTGAGCTTGGAGAGATCCTGGCAAAGATTGTGATGACTTAGGGGTGAAGAGAAGGTGGCTCTGCGGCTAGGAATTGAGTGTTGAGTTCCAGGAAGATGCAGAACCATGCTGGGAGGAAGGTGCCACCCAAGGCCTTCCCACGTTTCAGACAGCTCTTTCCCTCCAGCCTTGTTGATTCTTTGAAAATCACATAACTTTTCTTGCAGGCAGTGGTTCCCGCCACCCCATGGCTAGGGTCTGTCTCCTTTCTTCTCCTATCACTCATCTGCAACAGAGTGAGGTGGGTAGGGTTACACTACATGGCCATGGCATTACCTTTGGCCCTCTGATCCAGAGGTGAAAAGGTAGGTTGGGTCAGGACCCTGGGGCCTCTGAGGCTGAGGTCAACAGATGCTGGAAGGGGCTGGCTCTAGATACCACTTCCCTGATCCTGCCAACCACAGTCCTTGGGAGGGAACTCTCTGTGCAGACCAAGCCAGTTAGAGTGACCAGCTGCAGGCTTGTCCCTTCTTGTCTATATCATGAGTTCTTTTAGGACTAGCTTCATTTTTCTTCTATGCTCAGGAATGATAGTTTGGTTACAACTGCAAATCCTATATATTATATATCACATACCACCACTGCACTTCAGACCCTAATACTTACAAATTCCCCCAAAGGAACATATCTCCCATGTGCCAGTCCCAGGTCAGTGCTAACCCAGAGGCCTTCAAAAAAGCAGAGTTCATTCCCAGAGGAAGCCGAAGGAAGGTAAAAGGAGAAGACCCTTGGGAGTTGGTTCTGGATGCAGGGTCAAATGTTAAAGTTGGGGGATGTAGGCTTCTTGTGCTACTTCCTCATTTTTCTGAAGCCCAAAGAGGTAATTAATTTGTCCAGAGTGGCTCAGCCTACCTAGAGCTGATAGAAAGCAGGGTGCAGAAGCATGGCTCGGGGTTTCACCCAATGCCCCCTCTAATACCCCTTCTTGAGTTTCATCTCCTGTGTTTTTAGAAAGGGAGGAAGGACAGCAGGGCAGGCAACAATCTAGTCCCCCGGGATTCTAGCTGCTACCACTGCCCATCCCTCCTCCTGATCAGCTCGTAAACAACTCTAGTTCCCAGGAAACCAGCCAGGCTGGGAGCCAGATCCAGACTGGGTCCTGGCTGGGGCAGCCCCTCAACCCTGTGAAGGGCCAGCCCCAGCCCCCGAAGGGCCCCACTCTTCATACTCCCCAGGAGCCTTCTCCTATCTCTAGCCCCTGGGAAGCAGACAAGGTCAAGAGGGCTTTGCTCATCGGTCCTCAGTCCTTCCTGCTTTCCTCATGGAGGAGGAGGGAGAGGTGAGGGACAACGGGGAGGTTGACCTTGGGAAGATAAAGCAGTCAACCTTGGGACAGTAAGGAGTTCACAGAGGGCAGGGGTGGGGGCAGGCTAGGAACTTAGCAGAGGCCTGGGGATGGGAAGATGAATTTGCAGAGGCCGCTGGGGTGGCAGGGAAGCGGCATAGCTGCAGAGGCCTCCTCCCTGCTTCCAGATCCCAGGGGCAAAAAAAATGTTTGAGGAAGTCAATTGAGAGTCATGAAATATATAGACAGGGGCCTGGGCATGAGCGAGCACCTTCTCCTTAGCTCATTCATTCATTTAGAAACATGTATTAAATGGTATTTATCATGGTGTTCAATATCACTTGTTATTCATATGTAATGTAGAATTCATACTATGCAAATTTTCACAGTAAACATTAGGGGAGAATGAATTAGGTACCTAAAAATCTGCCTGGGGAGATGAAGAAATATAAGACAGCCTAACCTGAAAGAAGCTCATAGTCTTTTCTACCAACCCTGTACACCAGGCTAGAGGCTGCTCACCATCCTCGCCCTTTTTTAAAGATAGCGCTATGCTGTGTAACTCAGACTGGCCTAGAATTTATGATCCTCCTGCCTCAGCCTCCTGATGGCTAGAATTGCAGGCATGTGTCACCATATCCAGATTCAAATACTGCCCCCACTGTGGTACTGAGGATTGAACCCAGGGCCTTTGCACTGAGCTACATTTCCAATTCTTTTTATTTTTATTTTGAGACAAGGTCACACTAAACTGCTAAATTGCCCAGGCTAGGCTCTAATTTGTGATCCTCCTGCCTCACCTTCCGCAGTGCTGAGAATATAGGCATATGCCACCATGTGTGACTCAAATCCTTTTTATAGTGAGGTGGCATAGGTAGATGGAGGAGGCATAGATAATGGATGGACAGGTAAGGACAGATCAACTCTCTAAGATCACTGGAACCAGCTTGGACTGCCCTAGCGTTGGCCCACTACTTAATCTGTCACTTCTCTAGAGTTGTTAAAGTGTTGGGACTGGTGCTAGGCAAGTCCTCAGCTCAATGGGAGGAGGCTCAGGTGTGTAAATCTCTCCCCTGAAAAAAGATGTCTGGTTCCTGAACTCTGCAGATAAAGATGAGGACAGCAGCCTGACCTGATCCTGTGTGTGTGTGTGTGTGTGTGTGTGTGTGTGTGTGTGTGTGTGTAGCCTCTAAAGGAACAAACTTCTACTTCTCCTTGCAAATACCTCTCCAAGCACCTGAGTGTTGAGAGCTCTCCCTTAAGACCTAAATTCCTCTTGCTGCTATTTAAGACTATTACATCTCAGAACATGCCTGGGCAGCCTGCGCTTGCTTGTGGAGCAAATGGGGACAGCGGGGTGAATATGCACGGAAGCAAAACTGAAAAGTAGTCCACCCTGACCTTTAACACCCATCTGCAGCTACTTCCTCTGCATTTCTCCCCAGCCCCACCCTCAAGTTGAGTTCTTTCTCTGCCCTCTGCTGGGGTGGTCTCAAATTACCCTAGCAAGCAAGTGCTCTGCCTGTGTACTCCTCTAAGATGGGGATCCCAGCTGAGTGTTCAAATTGGAGCTATCTGATTAAAGCTGTTTCCCCCAGGTGTGAATTCCTGGCTGACAACCTATGGATACCAAATGGCAGCTCTCTGCTCAGGTAGAATGAAGGCAGGGCTGAAGAGATTTCTGAGCACGTAGGGGACTTCCCATGAAGTCTTCACCCACCAGTTCACCTCCCTGGTCCCCACTGCTCAATTGGTTATGTCGCTGCAGAACACAGACCTTGGGTTGTTGCCATCCTGCCCTGGGAAAGCCATGGACCTTGGGTCGGTGTCACCTACTCCCCAACAGTGCTCTAGAGGCACAGTCCCCAGCTCCTTCCTTCTGCTGCCCATCTCAGTTGAGTATAGGATGGGGAGAGATGTCATATAGGCTGTCAGGGTGGGAGGGCCCAAACTCTCCCATTATACACAAACTTGGCTAAAGAAGGGGTGTGGCTTCCTCAGAGGCTCTGTCCCGAGACATTCTGATATCTCACAGCTTTTCTATGTCCCTGAGATAGTCCTTGCCTTTCATTAGGGCTGCCTGGCACATCCAGCTTGTGGTCCACTAAGACCAGATCTCTCCCTGATACTGCCTACTCTCCTTGGTGTCTCTATGACACATATTTTTTTTTTGCTTTGACAGCCTTCTTAATCTCTCTTCTGCTAATTTCTTCCTTGTCTCCCTTTTGGGCTCTGCCCTGTTGAATTTTAACCCTGAGCCAGCTGCCTTCAGCTTGAGTCAAATCCTATAAGGGGCTGGGGATGTAGCTCAGTAGAGTATTAAACTAGCTGTGCAGGATTCAATCACCACTCTATTAATAAATCGCCCTATAATGATTTATTAATAAAGATGTATACAGAAGGGTAAGGCTGACTCCTTGCTCTTTAGCAGTTTCAGTCTAGAGTCTAGTTAAGAGGGGACACCGACATGGAATGGTAAGAGAACCAAACAGGACAATCCCAGTCTCACTTGGGTGTAGGGTGAGGAGAGATGTTACAGCTCCTGGCCATGGCTGGGGGAGGTTGGATTCCTGCTCCTCTACTCAATGCTCTTCCAAACCTCTGGGAGTAACACCCCTGACTTGCTGTTCTCTGTTCCCCAGGGCTGTGGGCAGCCCCTTGGTCATGGACCCTACCAGCATCTGCAGGAAGGCACGGCGGCTGGCAGGACGGCAGGCCGAGTTATGCCAGGCAGAGCCAGAAGTGGTGGCAGAGCTAGCCCGGGGCGCCCGGCTTGGGGTTCGAGAGTGCCAGTTCCAGTTCCGCTTCCGCCGCTGGAACTGCTCCAGCCACAGCAAGGCTTTTGGGCGCATCCTTCAGCAGGGTCAGTGTGGGGAGAGGACCTGGGGGAGAGGTGCTCCCTCCCCACTGGTGTAGCCTCCTGGCCCACCTTGGCAGCGGGGGGTGGGG